AAATATAGGTTGAAAAAGATCTCAAAATAGATATGTAGGTTGGCAAAAACTCAATTTTTATTTATGCACAAGAAAATTTGTTGTAAAACTTTAGACATGAAATTCCCTTAAAATTCATCATCTACAGTCGTTGAAGCAATGATATTCTCCAAACATTTATTCGTACGAGATGCACTCTAACCTATCAATTGTATCCAACTATGCAGCTGCCTAGAAGTGATGGTGGAAGAGAGAAGCCGTCATAGAGAATCGAAAAGATAGCGAGTGTGGTTCTAATTAAGGTACTTGGAAAGGTTAGCCTTTTTATATAGTAACCTCTCGTCATAGTAGTCAGGATTCTAACCCGAAACTTACACCTTATGTCACTTTCTATCTAGTTGAGCTAAACCTACCGACCAAAAATCTTCATACAGGATATACGAAGATGAGGAGGTAGAGATGGAGAAGATGAGTATGAAATTTTTTATGCAACTTATTCTTGTTGGCAGGAGATGGTCGGCCAAATAAAAAGTTACAAAGTTTGAGAGATTTATTGGAATGCCATCAATGAAATGTGTATAATATGAGTGGTTCACTATAGTTCTCACTTCTCAACTTTTTTGTTTGAACCCTACTTCTCATTTGATCTTTTGTCTAGATACATATATATATACACAAATATAGAGCCATGTTCCTATCGGTCCGGACTGACCGGTACCACCATCCACCGACATCATTTGAGGTAGGGGTGTCTACCGGTCCAAAACCGGACCGGACCGGTAAGGACCGAAACCAGATTCATCATTTTAACTGGACCTAATACTAACCAGTCCAAACCAACTCAGACCTGAATTTTCCGGGCTGGTCCGGTTTTGACCATAATTGACTCGATATTTTAAAAAAATGCATATTATACTACATATATCATAGAGTGTTGTTTATAACTTGAGAAATTGCCCTAAATAGAAATAGATGAGGTTTGAAAATTCAAATAGGACTACTATATATATATTTTTCTTCCCGAAATAGTTGTTACTGTCATGTATGAAAAATACTGTCATTAATTACAATAAATATTGTAATGTTAAATGCACTGTACTGCATCTAATTGGTAGTCACGCCCAGTCTTAGCCTCGGGCCGGGTGGCCCGACCCGGAACCGGCCCGGGACCAGTACTGTGCTGAACCGGCCCGGCCCGACCCGGTAGCCCGGCCAGTGACCGGTCCGGGTAGGCCCGGCCCGGGGGGTTCCCGGTGCGGGCTCGGGTCACCCAAAAGCCGAACCGGCCCAGCCGGTTCGGGCCCGGTTCCGGGCTTTTTAATTTTTTCTTTTTCATTTTTTTTATCTTTTCGGGTTGGGCTGGGTATTTTGGGCCATTTGGGGTGGTTTGGGGGGTTGGGGGTGAGGGGGTTAATTAGGAAAAGGAAAAAAATACTATCATGTTAGTCCTATTGCATGAATAAAAACATAATATTCTTATTTTGAAAATCCAAACTCCAATTACTCCTATTTTGGGAAATCTCCCTTACTTTAATCTTATGTGCTAAATAGACTAAATAATTGTTTAACTCATTTATCAATTTAGGCATATAATCATCAATGGTCACAATCAATTTCCCAAATTAAATGAGTTTAAAAACTACAATCTTTCATGTGCACTAAAATGCGGAATGTGTGTAATAAAAACTAAATCACATGTCCACTATATATAAACTAAATCTATAGTTCACATTGCATACAAAGAAACAAATAAAAAGCAACAGCATTTGGTCTCAACCATAAATAAACTAAATAACATTACGATAATTAATTGACAATTCAGCCTTTTAAAAAAGAAAACTTACTAATTCATGGTATTGGTGTGTTCTGGTGCTTGGTGAGTATGTATATTATACAACCCGCTGTACGGTGCGCACCGTACAGCCGGCCCAGTAACAGGTTCAAGAGGAAAGTAGCAAAATAATTCGGTGGCAATTTTGTAATTAATGTGAAAATTGTGGTTTCTGCTAAATGAGTATTAATGTACTCTTAATGAGCAATAGTCCAATTTTAATGAGTATTAAGCGTTTAATAATGAGTACCATGTTATTACAAGAAAGTTCATATCACAACTAAAAAATAGTGTCATTTTTGTAATTTGAGTAAAAATCGCGGTTTTCGTTAGATGAGCATTAATACACTATTAATGAGCACCGTGCGTATTTTACTTAGTATTAAGAGTTGAATAATGAGTATTGTGATATCAATTTCATATATTGTAATTCACTTTTTTTTCTTATTTTATCTTTTACAAAAACTCATTAAATTATATCTATAAGCAACTTCTATAAACTTCAATATGCGAATTTAATGTAATATGATATTTTTGAAATATGCATTGATATGTCATTTTAAATTTGAGCATAATATCAGTATCAAATGAGCATACACAACTTTCAAAATGCACATAAATATGAAAATTGTAAGGTTTATTAATTGGGCATAATGACATTTTCATTGAGCATCAAATCTTCTATATTGAGATGAAAATAACGGTTTCTGTTAAATGGGCATTAATGAACTTTTAATTAGCACTAAACCTATTTTGTTGAATATTAGGAGTCTAAATAATATTGAGCATTGTAATCTCCGTTTCATATCTTCTAATTCACTTTCTTTTATAGAAACTTATTAAATTATATCTACAATCAATTCCTATGAAGTTCAATATATGAATTTAACGTAATATGATACTTTTGAAATATGCATTGATATGACATTTTAAAAATAAGCATAACATTATTACCGATTGAGTATATGTAGCTAACAAATAAGCATTAATATGAAAATAATAAGCTTTGTTAGTTGAGCATGAAGACATTTTCATTGATCATTAAACTTATCTACTGAGTATTAGAAGCGTGAAATTGCGTACTAATTGATTATTCGTAAACTATAAAATGAGCATTAGTTAGAAAATCATCAAGACATTTTCGTTGAGCATCAAATTATCAAAACTCATCTATCGAGTATTAGAAACATGCAATTGAGTATCATGGTATGTGCTCTCGTATCTGTAATTAACTCTTACTTGAATCTAATGTAATATGCTACTTTTGAAATATGTATTGATATAACATTCAAATATGAGCATAACATTAGTACCAAATTAGCATACATAACTCACCAAATGAGCATGATATGAAAATCATTGTTAGTTGATCATCAAAACATTTTCATTGAATGTCAAACCTTCTTTATTGAGTATCTGAAGCATGTAATTGAGTATCATGATCTCTGCTCCCATTTATATAATCTAACTCTGATCTTTTATGCGAATTTAATATGAAACTTTTGAAATATGTATTAATATGATATTTTAAATTGAGCATAAAATCAGTATCACATGATCATATGTAACTTACAAAATGAGAGTTGAAATATAATTTGATTTACAATGAGAAATATAATAATTTTAAATTTAAAATAACTTATACTCCGTACTACGTAATATTTAATAAACAAATAAATATACATCCTAAATTAAAAACAGAAAAATAAAGCATTAATATCTAAAATATTTTATAATACATAAATTAAAAAAATAAGTCTGAAGGTTGATTGAAAAAAAACTCCAACACTAAATAATATTTTATATTATTTGAATAACATTTTCATCAATAAAAAAGCAAAACGATTGTTAAAATGAAAAAAGAAAAAGAAACGAGAAGATCTAACAAGTAAGTGTGCAGGCAGTGCAGCTACTACGATTAAAGCAACGTACAGAAGAAACAAAACAAAAGGAGGAATCGAAGTCAATGACTGAAACGGCGGAAAAAGAAAGGAACCGACTGAAACGGAAGAAAAATAGAAGGATAGCAGGGAGCAGCTACTACGTTTCAGGCCCGAAGTTGTATATAATTTCAAAAATACCCGACTGTACAGTGAGCACCGTACAACCGATTGTACGGTATAGTTTACCGTGCTTGGTGGTGTAGCAGCGCAGGTTACCAACTCCGTAAATGTAAAATATATACTCCATATATATACATATCTAATATACTACGATAATAGAAAAATGAAAACCCTAAAATGTAATGACAAATGACTGGGAACAAAGACTACAAAGTAATTTTTTTTCGGGATAATAATTTACCGGTCCAAACCGGTGCAGACCTCGTTTTTCCGGGTTTGACCTGGAACGGAACCCGAAATCCTGAATATCTTTGGACCGAAACCCATACCTGTTAATACCAGTTCAGACCAGTCCATTCCGGTCCGGTTCAGGTCTAAAATGCAGTCTGGACCGGTTAATGCACACCCCTAATTTGAGGGGCTTTTCGGCCAAGTTTTTTTATGAAACTTTTTTATCATGTCTTTCATGAAGTGTAGATTATATCTACAATCCACACGATATCAGCTTAAAATTCAATTTAGAAGTCAGTTAAATAAATTATTGAATTGAAACTTACTGCACAAAAATGTGAATAAAAACGCTGCATTTTCAACAATTCATTTAACTGACTTCCTAATCGAGTTATAAGCACAAATTTTGTATGAATATTCTACACTTCATGAAAACACACTTACACATCAAAAAAATCCATTTGGAAGGCCCTCAAACAGGCTTGGTCAGATTGACCTGAATATTCTTCTACACTTATACACGGGTCAGGTACAAACTTTGCTTAACGTGCAAATATTTATACCATGCATTTTTACGCAATTTGCATTGCATATTAACATTCAAAGTATTGCATACCATTCTATAATGAAATAAGCAGTCGCATATTAACGTTCAAAGTGTTGCATCTTAATTAATTTTATTTTATTACCAAAACGCAGGTACAACCTTTAGATTAACTCATCAGATGATTAAGATGAGTTTGTAGTTTGTAAATTAGGAGATATTTGTATTTAATCCCTTATATTAGGCCTCTTTCATCAAAATAATTTATTTAACTGACTTCCAAACTGAATTTTAATCTGAAATTTGGTGGATATAAAAAAATTGATCCGAAAGCACTCAAATCAAAGAGGCCTAAAAATTGTACGAGTAAGTTTGAAGCCTAAAAATTACATGAACATTTTCCTATACATACATATATAGCTCTACAATCTGTGAATAACTTGCAATGAATCAACAAAAGCTAAATTTGTCAGACCTTGTAATCATGGTGGGAGGAAATATGGAAAACCCATCATCTCTACAGCAGCAAACAAGTTAACTTTTTGTTGTTAAAGTACGGAAATGTTTACATGTTCATCCACATATATGTTTCACAAGGAACTCCAAAATAAGAAATAGCAATTGATCTGAATTGCACTAGAGAGGGCCCTTATTGTTCTTCCCATGTCTTTTTAGGGATTGGGAAAAGAAAGCGAAAGAGTCACTAAGCTCATTTGGCAGAGGAAGTGATAAGGGAAGGAGCAATGGTTGTTGGTAGGCTCTGAGGCAGTAGGGAGACGGGAGTGCTAAGGCAGGCTGCTGTTTGTTAAGGCCTTCGATAATAAAGGAAAATGCCCCAAAAGTGAGGCAGCTTTGCAGTAGAGCCTGTGGTGCACCTAAGAAAAATCAAACCAGCCAGAATATGAAAGAGCTTTTAGATGGAAAAGGTGCTGTTCTGCTGCCAAATAACTTAAGCTGAAATGTTTATAGCTAACAGCTGAAAGCTAGAAATGTTTTGTAAAAAATATTAAAAGGCATATTGTTACTTTTGCAAGAAATTAAGATAATTAGCCAAACAAAATTAAAAACAATGAGCTTATTTCTGGAGTGAGATAGCCACCATAAGCCACACTCTGGTTGGATGGTTGGTTAGGACTTGAGGGGGAGAAATAGAGTAATATGATGAATGATAATCATGTGAACATATTCCGCGCATGAGTCTACCTTCGGTGTGGGCCAAGCCTGACCGGGTGGCTTAGACTATCTAACTGGAGGTGGTAAAGCCTTCTCTGCAATCCGTGGAAAGCGGTTCGGAGCTGGCTGAGCCTTCTCAGCAACCCACAAAGACTACACTCCGCTTCCATGTCTTCTGACCGGACGATAGGGGGATATGTTCAGCTGAGGCCATAGTTGGCTACCAGTCCAATAAGAAGACTGGCCCAACCTTCAGCATCCAGTCTATCAATTTCAAAGGCAAACCTTTGGTTCATGACCCAAAGGCCTATATACTCCCCATCAACTCCCACCCATATTAAATATCCATTCAGGATCTTTATAACACGAGACTGTTCTGGAGGATTGAAAATGATTTCTATGTTTCTATTAATCAAGAAAGTTTAAGCAAAAAATGAGAAAAATGAAACAATGATGCAAAATGTCCACAGCAATAAATGGAAAAAACACTTCAAACCAAATATGATATATGCCTCTCCTAACCTTTCCCACATGTATGTTTGTACTCCGTAGCATAGTTCATGAGAGAAAAGCTGTGAAAGAGGAAGTACCTGGAAAACTCAGAGCAAGACCAGTACAACATCCAGCTACACCAGCATTAATTACTGCAAGGAGAGAAAGTATTTTGATATGTTAAAGAAAGTCATTTGAGAGAGCAAATGCTTTTTCAAATTGATGGAACCTACCATCATCTTTTCCCCTAAGCCTCTTCAGAAAGCAAACCACAACACTGTGTACTCCGGACAGTACTGCAAATGTCTAAAGTGCAAGGGATATCTTACTGATGTTATACTCAATATACAGCTACAGGCCAACAAATTCACATGTATGTAGTGATATTTTATTAGTAAAATCATTTGCTAACAAAAATGAGGGTTCAAATACCTTTGCAGATGATCCTGCCTCTGCAAAAGACCCTTTGAAGCCCTTCTTTTTTATCAACCCTGCACCTGATGGATTCGGGAATAATAGTGTAACTCCCCGTGAATTTGAATTATAAATATTAGAGGCACAATTGGATCTGGGGAAATGCTATGAAAAGGTAAAGAACTGCTAGGGAGAGTAGTTTTCTTATACACGGCGTATTTTTTACCTTGGGCAATGATATATGATCATTCGTTTATTTATTTTTGCATATATTTGGAATTTATTTCTTAACATGATCGACCTATACAGGTAAAATGAGTATCAAGAACAAACGGACCCACCCCACAGGTTTATGTAGAAGCAAGAATAAGAACATTTCCCCAAGCCCTCCGCCTAAAATGGAAAAAACACAACGCAGCACATAATATTGTGTATATACCACTGTAAGGACTCGTAATTCAATCATTAGGAATGAAAGACAAAAACAGTGAAAAGGAAAATCGTAGTTTTGTGTTGTAATCCCATAAACGCCCAACCTAAAGAGTGGACAGTTTTTTAAGGGCTAGTGGAAAAAAAAATTAAAGGAGGTGGGAACGCCGAAGATTACCGTATCCGAAAATGGAACCCATAAACGCCCCACCGAAAGAGTCTGCGGCAAACCTATACAAGCAGACGGCGGGCGGGCTCGATGGGGAGCTCAATACGTCGGAAGTGGCATCGGGATTAGGGCCGGATTTAGTAGAGAAGTCCGGAGTTGGAGTGTTCACGACATCAGAGCCGGTATCGGCGTTCGGGGATTTCGTCGGCGTCATTGCCATCGCTGCTGTAGATAAATGGGCTAGAACCCTACGATTGAATGGCAAGAACCCCACGAACCTTCAGCTCTTGGGCGTGCCGGTTTGGATGAGAAGACGTTCATTTAAATTTAGACGTTTCGAATCAAAGTTTGACAATTTCAAAATATACCTAAAATAAATAAATCTCTATTTCTAATTTTGTCACATTCTATTTTAAGTAAAGAATTTTTGTTTCCAGCCAATTCTTTTTTTTCTGCACAAACTTCTACCGCAAAATTTTTACTTTATTAATCTACGTACAGACAAATTTGATAAAGTTTTAAGGGATAGAGACAGAGAGACTACTTCGATTTTGGATGTCTCATATAAAAGTTCCCACATATAAATGTTTACATTTATTCGGTATAAATTTATTCAAAGTTAATAATTTTTGGAATTTCAAAATAAGACTAATACGTAGCATGTTTTATCACAAAAGTAAAAGTTTTTACTGTCATGATTGAGAAATACTAGAGTATATTAATTATAATAAATACTGACATGTTGAATGTATGTTATTGCAACTATTTGATAATCATGACTACAATATGGCAGTAGGGGACTCGTTTGTTTCAAAGAATGTCCCATTATCATGGAAATATTACATTATTGAACATGTTAGATTGATGAGAATGCATTTTAATTTATTCTCATTTGTATTTGCTTAAGATTAAGGGAATGCAACATTAATTTATTGGATTGAAAGATAATTTATATTCCAGATTTGATGAATTACTTCAATGCTATTTAAATATTTTCTCTTAACACAATAAATATGTTACTGCCTACATCTAAAGTAATTGAAATTAAATAAAAAATGAAATATCTTACAAATAAATAAAATCTAAACTAATTGAATTATTTTTAAGTAAAGTATATTTTAAATGAAATCTAAACTAATTGAATATAATAAATTAAACATATTCCATCCATCCCATTTAAAAGGTTGTCACGCAATTTACAAAATTTGAATAACCACAAAACTAACTACAATAATAAAATTATTTTTAGTAAATTAAATTAACATTTACAAAAACTACATTAAAAGTTTTATAAAGTCACAAAACAATTAGATTTTATTAAAGTTGAATATATAAAGTAAAAAATTAGTGGACGAGAATAGTGGACTAGAGAATAGTAGACGAGAACCTTTAGATGGAATTATGGAAGAGTCAAAAAAAAATTAAATGAAAAGAGATAACTAAATTGTGGGTATTTTAGGAAGAAAATTAGGTCCTCCTCAGGAATGTCAGTTAACCTAAGTCATGGATGGGGCTAACATTCTCCTCCATAGTACATACTCGGGAATGTAACTTTTCTGATTTTTTCTCAACCTCATTAACTAAACATGGACATCTAACATTGCTTGCATCACATTCCGGCCTTCATGTGAGATTACACCAAACCAAACAGACCATAAAGATTATCACATTACTCTTGTTTCGAAAAGAAAAACATAGCAATCATAGTTTAGAAGTTCAAAATCTTTCTACTCCTATTTTGAAAAATCCCTGGTCACTCATCTTAATCAAGACCACAATACTTAAAATGTAAGAGAATATGAAAGTACAATCAAATATTATGTAAACAACAATACATGGAGTCATGGAAGAGATAAGCTCTCACACCTCAAGAACACATTAGAGAAGAAAGATTAAATACAAAAACTAGTGAGGAACTATAGGATTGAATGATTCATTTGGTTAGAGTTTGAATAAGCTAAGAAATGATATTTTGATAGTCTGTTATTAATAATAAATCGGTTTTGGGTGAAATCTATGAGATGTATCCTTAAAATATTGGCTTGTCGTCAGTAATATTCTTGCAAGTCGTTTTTTTTTCAGATTTCCCAATTCCGACACCAGATATGGGGGAAGTCTGGTAGTGGAGTTAACTTTTGATGTAAGCCGTTGTCCGTTGTTTCTAGGGTTTGGCAAAATTTTTATGATAAAAGCCGAGCACCTATTTTAATCAAACCAAGATTGGGAATACAACCGCCTTCCAAACGTGTCTGCACAATCATGCAATTTGATCGCGTTTTCCTTCATTTTGAAGTAACTAGAGATATGATTTTGATAGAAAAGCAAATGTGTATATTTAACTGAATATCATATATTTGAATCTTGGACTAGTTCATGCAAGGTTCTTGCTAAATAGTTCTTTTTTGGAGCTTAGGAAAACTATCTATTTTGTTAGTTCATTGAATTACTGAAAGTTTATGCAAATCATTTAGTTTTGGAAGTTGGATATGATCTTAGTATTTAGGGGCCATAACCTTACTAAAAGAGGTCATTCTCCCATATCATTACTTTGGATTATTGGATGGGCATATTGGTGATGTTTGACCGAGTATTTCTATAAACTTTGTTTTTAAATTTCCTTGTTTGACCGATTCGAAGTATGATACACCTTCTTTTGGAAGGTGCCTTGGTTTAAAATGACCCAGAGGGTCTATTGGGACTCAGGATAAAAAGTATTATACTACGTAAATCGCTTCCATAGAGTTTCAAACTTAGAACTTCCCATATGGGAGAGTAGTCGAAGACGGATGAGCTAGATTGCTTTCTCAAATGACATTAATCAAATTATCTAAAGAATAAAGATTGAAGATTAATCAATAGGAAAGTGAAACCATTACCCGAACACTGGGATGTGTGAATTACACTTGGGAGGCGTTTACTTCACCGGTTATTAAACGGTGCTTATTAAGACCCGTGTTAATAAGCGGTGCATAAAATAAACAATGTTGTAAGACTGTGTTTACTTCAAACGGTTTAAAACACCGCTTAACATTAAAATGTCCAAAATAACCCTATACATATACACACACAAACATTCATGAACACAAGTATATAATATAAATGTGTACCCATACCCCCTAACCCCTTACCCACCCTACCTTACTCTGACCCCACCTACCCCCTACCCCTACCCCTACCCTACCTACCCGACCCTACCCCTACCCGATCCCACCCTACCGCGACCCTACCCCCAACCCCATAGGCCCCTACCCCCATACCCCCTACCGCATCGACCCCACCCTGACCCCACCTTACCCTACCTTACCCCAACCCCGCCCCTACTCCTACCCTACCTTACCCCGATTACCACTACCCTACCCAATCCCACCCTACCCCTACCCTACCCGACCCCACTCTGCTGCAACCCTACCCCCGACCCCACCGCACCTACTCTGCCCCCTAGCGCCTCTATCACATTGGCCCCACCCCGACCCCACCACCCCAACCCCACCACCCTAGGTATAGGGTGGGGGTAAAGGTGTGGGGTCGGGGTATATGGTGGGATGGGGTAGGTGGGGTAAGAGTATGGTGGGGTGACTGCGGTCAGGTAGTGGTAGGGTGGGTCGGGTAGGTAAGGTAGGGTTGGGTAGGTGGGGTAGTGGTAGGGTGGGTTCGAGTAGGTAGGGTGGGTTCAGGCGGGGTATGGGGTAGGGTCAGGGTAGGGTGAGGTCGGATAGGGTAGGGGTAGGGTGGGGTTGGGTAGGTGGGTAAGGGGTGGGGTAGGTTTGTGGTCTGGTAGGTAGGGTAGGGGTGGGGTCTGGTAGGTAGGGTAGTGGTAGGGTGGGGTCGGGTAGGGGTAGGATGGGGTAGGGTAGGGGGTAAGGTGGGGGTCAGGTAGGGTGGGGGGACGGTTAGGTAGGGTAGGGGTGGGGTAGGTAAGGTAGGGGGTGGGGGTGGGGTAAGGGTAAGGGTAGGGTGGGGTCGGGATAGGGTAGGGGTAGGGTGGGGTTGGGTAGGTGGGTAAGGGGTGGGGTAGGTTTGTGGTCTGGTAGGTAGGGTAGGGGGGTGGGGTCTGGTAGGTAGGTAGTGGTAGGGTGGGGTCGGGTAGGGTAGGGGTAAGGTGGGGTCAGGTAAGTGGGGTAAGGGTAGGGTGGGGGTCGGTTAGGTAGGGTAGGGGTGGGGTAGGTAAGGTAGGGGGTAGGGGTGGGGTAAGGGTAAGGGTAGGGTGGGGTCGGGATAGAAGGTGTAGGGTAGGGGTGGGGTAGGTGGGGTTGGGGTCAAGGTGGGGTCGGTAGGTAGGTGGGTCAGGGGTAACAATAGGGTAAGGGCAAGGGGTAAATTCGGAAACTGAAAAAGCTTAAAGTGCCGCTTAATTAATACATGGGGGTGTGGTAGGCTTAGTAAGCGGCACTTTAAGCACCTATCTCGGTTAGTAAGCGGCTTTTTAAGCAGCGTGCGTGTTTACTTCACCTGTCTTACTAACCTAACTGTGACTTTAGCAGCGAAGTAAACGCCTCCTTGGGCTCATAATAATACCGTAGTAGTATAATACTACTACATAGTACATACAACATACCGCCTTACACATCATCATCAATAAAACTCACACAGTCACACCAACAAATAGAAGTATAACATTAAAATAAAATCTCCAAGTCCCAAGCAGGGATTTGTTCCGTCCAGATGGCTAACTCAATAATGATGATGCTCCTCCTGATATATGGCACCAAATTCCGCCCTCCACGCTTGCTCATCATCGTCATCATTATAAGCTGATGAATGTTGTGTTGCTGTCAATGTGTCAGATTGCTCCCTAAACAGAGATGTCCCCCGTAAAGCAGCTTCTGGCAATCTGCTCTCAGCAAGACACTGCTTCATGGTGGTCATCTCCATCTTGTGTTTTCTCTTCAGTTTCTCCATTTGCCTCTGTAACTTCTCATTCTCTTCCTCTCCTTTTCTGAATTTCTCCTGCAATAATAAGAGTTGAGTTAATTTACATCACATTTACTACCTTCTATAAGCTAGCTACAAGTGGGATTCTATACTCATATAAAAAAAGCCAACTTATTTAAAAATCTAGCTTATTCAAAAGCTGTCTTTGAAAAGCTTAAACTGATGACTTGTGATTGTTATGATTTTACCTCAGCAAGAGATGCAGTTTCCTCGGCTTCTCTCAATCTAACTAGTAGTTCACCAGCAGCATGGACTGCTTCTGCGGTGTCCCTGAGTTGAACCTTCAGGCTTCTGTTCTCCTTCCTCAGGAGCTCCCTCTCCCTCTCCCTTTCCACCCTCAAGGCTGACAGTTCCGCAGCCAATGACTTGGCAAACCGAGCGCCAT